CTTTTCATAAACAATATATATAGCTCTCTTATCACTGAGGCTACAGTTTTCGCCTTTAGGCAGCTCTTAGTATAAGCTATATTTTAAGGCAATTATAAAAGCTACCCCTGGGGGAAGCTTTTATTTACTTAGGGGCAGCTTACTATATTTAAATAAGCTATTTTTTTTAACTTAGCTGTAGGCCTTTTGTTTAGAAAAGGCCTTACAATCGACTGTACCGGTATAGACATTGCTTTTTTTTCTCCCACGCCGCCAGAAGACACATAGAAATATTCACCTTAAGAATCTTACTCTTTTTAATGCTGACCCTGAGATTAGAGGCTGGCCTTGGCTCGTTGAGGTAATACGAGATGCTTTTCAGATTATGTCTTTTAGAATGGAGAACTGTATAGGTAGGGATAACAGAGACCTGCTAAAGCGCTGAGGATAGAGATGCTTCTTTATAATCCAAATAGACAACTTTTTGAAGCTACTAATTTCGAAGATTTTAACCATATACCAAAGCTTTTAAGAAAGAGAGCCAGCGAAAATATATAGCAAACTGCTTAAAAATATAAATTTACCACCTTTACAGCCTAGCCACTTATATTTATCCTTCATAACTCCAGCCTAATGCTCGAGCTCCTATTGCGTCAAACCACGACCTGTTCTTTCCCTCTGCCCTGACCGCATCCACAATCTCCCTCCTACCATCCGGTCGTAGTGCCCGCTCTTCCGTCATAAGAGGAATAATAACATCCTGGATTAGTTTGCAAATCCCTTTCACCACTTCGCTCTTAATTTTCTCCCTCCCTTGCCTTTCCACTAGCAGAACACTTCCAATCGCTGGGCTATCTATCCAGCTACGTACGCCCTCCCATTTCCCATCTCTCGCCGTAGCCCGGAGTAAGAGGAGTCGCGCCATCTCATTCTCGAGCCCGGCCTCATCCTTACCACCGCGGTCATATACTTTCATAACCCACTCGAACCCCAGCACCCCGGGTATATCCAGTGGGTCATCGCCTTCAAGTCGAAAAAGTGGATGCGCCCGTGGAACCGCAACCGACATCATATCACCCAAGCCCCGCGCCACTCGATCATGCCTGCAGTTAATCCGCCACCCCGTCGTCTTGACGGCCCTGCTTTCTCGCTCATGATAGTAATCCCTCGTATATCTAACAGAAGATGACGTATGGTATTTTCGATTCATACAATAATGCGAAGCCATTTGTATCTGCTCGATAACTTCCGAAACGGGAATCTCAAGCATACGCACAGGAGTATACTCATGTGATAGCTCTTGGTATCTGTCACTTCGGCTTTTACCCCAGGCCGGTGGACTTGACGCTGCACCCCCTCTGCGTCAAAATATGTCACCGGGAATGACCGTAGATGGAGGTCAGACTGTAGATCTGACACAGTCATCCTCGTAGGGGACCAGCGAATACCTCGCTTGGCAACGGACAGGCTGCTTGGGAAACCAATGATGCTATCCACGACGTCAAAGGTAACGCCTGCGGTGCGCGAGACTTTCTCGTCCTTGTCTAGGCAGATGAGCGGCGCCTCAGACTCGGAATCGACGCCGCAGAAGATCTTCTTTCTACACTCGGCGTTGACCTTTCTGGCTAGGTCATCTTCCCCGCCTGCGAGGGTCATGCTGCTGAGGACGTCCGCGCCTAACCCAGCAGTAGACTCCAGATATTGGGCAAGGCTGATCTGTTCGGCCGAGCTTTGTATGCGACACTCTTTCGCTGTCTGGTGGCAGTCGTTGCAGCATCCTTGGAACCTGGTGAGTTGCTCTGCCAGCTTCTGTGTGAGGTGCTCAACTGGGCCTCGTTCATCATCCTCTGGCTGGGGTGAGGGTTCATGAGGTGCATCAAAGCCGATGGCCTCATCTAAATCAGGACCAATATAGTCCACCGGAGGACTGGAGTCTACAGCGCCTGCGGGAGTTCCATCATCGAGCGTTACTTGCGCTTGCACGCCCTCTTCCAGCTGGTAATCAACTGCGGCGAGGAACTGTGATATGTCCCTTTCCTCTGGTGGCGGTATATTAGTTGAATCGGCTAGTATATGGAAGCCATTGGAAACATCTGCTGCTTGCAAAGATGCGACTGGTTGATAGAAGCTTGTATGCACAACATTGCGCTGTGCATGGGAAGCGTCTTGCCTTGCCGCTCGCTTGCGTTTTACATCTGCTGCGGCTTTGGCCTTGGTTGTAGAGTATGTTCGGGGCCTACCACGCTTGCGCTTCCCCGAGGTAGTCTCAATGCTTGTGTCTTCCATAAGGCTGTTGTCACACTATTTTTTTTCCCTATATATAGCTATATAGGCGTGATAAAGACGTAGAAGAGGCTATGAGGAGGAAAGGGTGAAGGGCCTTTTCAATCTATAAGTCAGGAAGCAAGATAATTTATTAAAACAATCGTTTAAAAGAGCTAGCCCATGGATTAAAAAGGGTAGAAAAAAAAGAAAGCCTCTTTTTCTTCTATAATTACTATTATAAAAGACTCTGTTATATGCTGTTAATAGGGCGTGCATATACTCCTGGTAATGTATAGCATAATTGGTTAGCTTGCTGTTCAGTGGGGGAAGTGGGTGAGACTAATGAAGTTATAATGTTTATATTATAACAATAAGTGATAAAATTAAGAAATGACATAATTAGCAGGCCATTTTGAGTTTTAATATATCTGTATATCTCAGATTTATTAATTTTAAGCTGTGTTTTACCTCTAGTCTGAGTGGGTAAAAGCCTAGTAGTGATCCCACACCACCTAACCTACAAGATAACTTCAAACACAAATAACGCAATGAATTTAATAGAAAACTGTGACCTCTTTATATCATTAGAAAGTTCTGCTTCTGGAGATTAAGATCGTGCATCATATCCCTTGGCTGCGTGCACTGCTACGAGGCGGCGGGGCATTGACTCTACAAGGGTGTCTATTATTTTTTAGTCTATTAAGTCCCAAGCCTCCTTTATCTTTTGTTTCAACAACGCGATGTCTGTACGGTTACCACTTAGACCTGGGAGCTCTAGGCAGATCTGTGATAGCTTCTTCTTCAGGGCACTCTAGATGTGCTCAATTGGATTGAGATCCGGGCTGTGAGGCGGCCAGTCAATGTACTCAGCGCCATCTTATATAGGAAGAAGTCCTCTGACAGTGCATTTTGGTAACTTCTTGCAGAAGGTCCCGGCCTCGGGGCGTCGGGATCTCGTTCTATAAGACCAAGCGGGTGCGACCGCCTCTCCAGACCATCAGGGCGATCAGGACTTTCCATGAATTGTAATGTTGACGATCTCCCTGTCAAACCTCTTGCCGAGCGCCCGGGAGACCCAGCCTCGTCTGTTATTGGGCTTATTTTGCGCTGTGGCTTCGTCTGAGAAGAGGGCCTATCGCGCGTATTAGCCTCGACTAATAGTCCAACTTCAAACTCTCATACCTCAACTAACTTGTGTTTTTTTCCTTCCCAATTACAACAGAATTGTAGCCTGGCTTCTGCTGTTTTTTTGGTTTTAATTCGTTGTGCAGACAGCCATTTGCGCTTGCATTCACTCTGTAAAGCGCGACGGATTGTCCGCGAGGTCACCCGACTGTCGACGGCGCCAACGAGTGCACTCCACGTTATTTTTCGATCTCTTTTTTAATAAAACAGTAATGTATCGAATCTCTGCCTCTGTAAGCTTCCTCGGCCGGCATGAACGAGGCTTCCTTTGCACAGTGCCGTCTTCCTGCCAGCGCCGCCAAATTGCTCGTACAGTCGAGCGCGTTGTGTGAAAATCAGCCGCAGCACGTGTGTGAGAGTCTTGTGGCCTCATTGTTTTGTCGGATATCTGATTCAATAGTTAATACTTCTAGTGCGACAAGCTCTGCGACAAGAGCGGTATATAGAAAGGTGTCATATCGTCGAGAGTATTCTGTCATGCCATGGTAAGATACGATTCTCTCGTAGCTCATTGTTTTAACGTTCTGATCCTGGGCCACTACTGCAAAGGAAATCAAATTGAATACCTTTTGAGTTCTGGTTAGAGTGGGATTTAATAGCCAGCGTTTTTCACTTTAAACTCTTCGGATAAATTTACAGGTAAGGGGCAGAGTCGAGGTCAGAGCACGATCTTAGCACTTATAGACTTCATTGATAATAAGTGAAATACGAAAATACACCATACACTCAAGTGCCAAAAGTCTGCGCCACTAGATACTCCACTAGTACACAACAACAAACCACCACAAATAACACTCAATCTGAAAACAGCAATTATTTATTTATCGATAAGATGTCAGAAACGATCGATAAGACGTCAGAAACGCGTGCCTTTGGTACTGAAATAAGCGGAAATCGCCAAAGAAATAGGGAACTTAATTTGGAGCAGAAAGGAGCAATGTGCGAGGCAGTATCGCGCGGCGGCCATCCACTTCTATGAATAAAAGAAAATAATAGAAAGAGCAAAACAATCTTCTCCATATGCGCCAATCTCAGTCTTATGCTTCCAATACTCCATCGAACATCGATTGTACAACTGCAGACTCTTCTCCTTGCATTGGACCTGTTGCAGCAAAGAATATTGCCACAGCTGATATTTTTCAAGGCGGCGGAGCGATGGCAAAATGTGCTAGAACTTCAAGGTCCGCGGCTCTTTTGTGATGCTAATTTGGCATCTTCTATTATACGCTTAGCTTGATCACACGCTGCCCGATTTGCATTCTTGGCTGCGCGCTCTCGAACAATTCTCTGCGCATGATCTTCTCGGTGCCAGGCACACGACTTGGCCCACGCGGGATTCCGTAGAACGTCTTCTGGCAATTCTTCGTGAAGAACATCCCCAAAATCGATGACTCGATCATACGACCACGGCTGCGGGTCTTTGCGCAGAAGCTTTTGATTTGACTCTTTAGCTGCATTTCGTTCGTCCTCCTCCGCTTTTTCCTTAGCTCGTAGCCATCGTCGCCTTTCAATGACTTTTCCAAACCACTCCTTGCGTCTTCCGCGAGCTTGGTTTTCAATCACCTTCCTTGTATGCCACTCTTCAGATCGCTGAATCGGCAAATGAATTGCGGGATTGATGGATAAATACTGCCTCTGATACCCAACGGAGGTTTTTTTAACCGGCGTTTTTGGTCGAGTCGGAGCCTGTGACGCGACCCCTGGTGGCGGACAAAGCGCAGACTGGCTATATATCATTGCGTCAAAGGCCTCTGAGTTAAAGACATGGATCTTGTCCTTCTTGTGCTCCTCTGCCATTGCCCGCGTTGCCACCAGCACCGTGTGGTCCACCGCTGTTTGGTTCCCTACTATGACGCCGTCTGTTGCAACGGTGGATGCTGGGTCGTTAGCCGTATTCTTCTGTGTGTCTTTGATAGCAGCTGCCAGAGGTTCGGGCTGTTGCGGTTGCTGAGGAGTGTCGGCGATTGTCTCGTCATCGGAATCCAAGATTTCTATTTGCACACGTGTGTGATTTTCAAGCTGGCCTCTGCCGTTGGTATGTACAGTCTCTGTCGTAGATACCCGCGTCTTTGATACCTGGACTCTTCTCGGGGTATGAGGATGGGTCTCGACCTGCTCATTAACAGGAATGTAGCTTCGATACTGAAAAGATTTACTTGACGGAGCGCTTCCATGGATAGCTTCTTGATAATCTGAATTTCGTGCCCTCGTTTGCCATCTTTTCCCCAAGAGAGTAGAGCGTCTGTCGACTTTCTTTCGGACAGGGGAGTATTCGATTTTTGGCGGTGTATCTGAAAGATCGGCTTTCCTCTTCAAAAGTGACACATGAATTGAAATATTTACTTTATTTTCCATGATCCGATCAAATTTTTGGAATACGTGAATAGTAGGTCCCTCACGCCTATTGTTACCATCGACAGGCAGTCTAGGCTCAGATTTATTGCCTGATGATGGCACAGGCGGCAGGACGCTGAAGTGGTGGTCCGTGGAATGGTGGCTATCGCCGCTACTGCTGCTGCTGGAAGAACTCATGGCTAGGCTATTTCCGCCTCTAATAATAAGGTCGATTGATGCATCGGTAACGATATCAACAACAACGGGCTCTTGGATGGGAATGACTCGTAAATCCGTAGGGTCTGGTGAAACCGCCGCCACTGCTGTCATAGCCGCCCTGGTCGACGACACCGGTGCAGGAGCAGCCGTGGATATGGCCGCGCCAATGAGCTTGTCCTTGGGGCGCTCAGGAGGCCATGCGCATTCAATACACAGCCGTATGCAGTTTCCGCATCGCGGCTTCGTCTCGTCACACTTCTTCTTGCGGCTCTTGCACATGAGGCATCCCGTCTGCACTCTCCGGATTCGCGCCCTGGGCAAGTGGCCCATCTGTTTGTTCAAAGCACCGCTGGCATCACGTGGAAAACAGGGTAAATCCAGACGCAGGCACCGCGCACATGGCACGCTGCCATCGCAGGCCTGCTTGATTTGGGAACAGCGATTACACACAGCGCGGCTTTCCGAGACCATGATCTTCCGTGAGATGCCGTGCCTCCTTTCTTCTCACGTACCGTTCCCTCTCCTGCGTGCTCTCCTCGCGTTCTCTCTCTGCGTGACTCTCTCTCTGGCTTGTCTCTCGCTTTCTCTTTAGCAGAAGTTTCAAGCTTCCTCCGAATTTTGTGGTCCAACCTTTGGCGGCAGGAATAAATACAGTTGGCTGAGCTCAACTGCACAGGGAGTGGGTAAGACTAAAAGGAGGCTTTTCTGCAGCAGGTGCGGGAGGAAGCTTCTTGTTCTAGAAATTAAAGGCAAAAAGGATTCGGCTTCAGAAGAGTACCGAGGTTAATATATATATTGACACTCCCATTAGCCCAATAGGCTCTAACATTAGCTCTTATTGGCTCTGGCTTCTGGCATAATGCGACTGGGGGCCACTAATGCCCCGTCTAAATCGCCAAATGTTGGTGATTCCTGGGGCCCCACCCACTTACGAGGAGGCCTCTTACTGCGATAAAAAGGGGCTCCACCCATATCATTAGCAGCAAAAGTTGTAGTTTGCCGTTATAGCTTCCATCAATATTAATTGTTAAGTAGCCGTCCACTTAATAATATAACTGCCATGGACCTTTCTGAGTACCTTAAACCTCTGGACCTGTTTGCAGACCTTTCTACTCATGCCTGCATTGGTAAGACTCTGATTAACTCTAGTAGAGTTGGTTAAATCTACTTACAATACTTATCTGATCATTCTCGTAGCACTAGCTCTCACTAGCGTGCCATGTCAAGGCCCAAGGCACAGGTTAGTACCCAAATCTAATTGGGCTGCACGTCTCTTATTGTTTACGGATGATTTCCATTCGACATTATATGGTATCGTGAATTCTGACTCTTCTTCGTCTGACGCATATCTCCGGCGGCGGATGATAGATGGGCAGGAGCTTCCCTACAGCTCTCGGTCCGCTCCGGACTGTTAGGAGAGAGTCATCACTATTCTAGTAAGATCGCTCAAAAAGACTATGACGAACGCCAGTCATTAGCACCATCTCTCCATCGCCTTCTCATCTCTATTTTATCCTTTCATAGGAGATTCCCCCTTGGGTAACGAAGTGAACGAAGGCGATCTTGTCAGTTATTTGGAAATATATAAGCCAAGCAACCGAAAAAGAGCACAAAATCGCGTCTAAGATTCACTCAGCGACCAATATACGCTTAAGCAGCTAGATAACAGTATTGCGTTGCATGAGAATATTTGTGAATTGTATGCTCCCTTAATGTGAGAATATTGGGCGTTAATACATATGGTGCCGAGCCGAAAGCCCAGTCCATGCCAAACCACAGCAAGCTTTCTACTGCTGGCGGTGTGGAGAAGCTACATTCTCGTATGCACCATATATTAATTATCCCATACTTTATGCTGTTGGTCAGCTCAAGTTTTCCTAGTGCGCCTTCATCCACCTATTAGTGCAGGCATGTAAGACGAGAGGCTTTTTATTAATAAATGACAAATCACATTCATCATCCCGTGCCTCAGTACTTCCTACGCTCTTAGATTATGTATACACTTACTTGTACTATTTCACACACATTCACGGTGCCTCACCCTAGTAATATTAATTTTCTGCTAGCCGCATTTCAGAAGTTCTCTTACTAGCAAGCTCGCCTTGTACAGGTAACCATTTTTCTTAATGTCGCAGACTCTCCCAAACATTGCCCATACGTCTCCTAATACCCCGTCAACAACGGCAAACACAGACAAACATGATGTCACCAATTACCACGGCTGATGAAAGGATCAAAAAAGCAATTAAGCCTTGCATTGAACTCATGATAATCAGAGGCAACGAAAGCCCCAGTGATAATGATGCCGTATCTATTGAACGCTCAGTCGTTGAAGAAAAGGATGAGATCAATGTTCATGCGAGCGGTGACCAGGGCTTAGAAGATTCAGGCTGCCTCAACGGCAATTCTAGTTGCCTAAACATACTCCATTCGCGCATCACAATCCAGGACGGCGCGGAAGCTCTAGGCGAAGCGAATACAGCCGATGTGACAGCAAACCAAGCTGAACAAGAGGCAAAAAGGCGCAATACAAGCCCCAACCAACCTTCACCTCCGAATCTCCACCCGAATGATGGCAGGACATTGAGTATCAAAGAAGAATATCTCCAGACTCTCCAGGACGGACGAACAACGATGCCCCTTGAACTTGAGGAGCTAAAAGCAAAAGAAGAAACTGCTGAAGAAAAAGCCCAAAAAGAAAAGATGAGCGCAAAACCAAATCAATTGCTACACTTATTTCAGAGCCCAACTTCGGCAGAGTTTATTTTATTTTGCTCAAATCTCCCAAAAGTACTACAGCCTCAGAGCTCAGCTTCGAAAAAGGCTATTGCATTGGCTTCAGAAATTGTAATACAAAATGGAAAGCGCAAGATGGAAGAGCAGCGTCTGATCGATACGAATAGGAAAAAGGCAAAACTTTTGGCGCAGTTCAACGCAAAATCCAACCAATACCTTGTTGAACTCACGAAAAATGTTCAGCGCCACGAAGCTGCTTCAGAACAAACACCGCAATAGAACTCTCAGGGCTCTCTATAGAAGGAGAAACATATTGTGAACGAAATTTTGTTTTCCTTTTTTCCTTTTTTATAGAGAGGCTTTGAGAGATTACTCATCGAGGGATGTCGGATACACTGTCGCTATCGATTATGTCTGTGAGAGAATGGTACACTCTTTATCTATCCGTTAAGTATGAAGGATCTCCGCAAGCGACGGCACGTAGAACAGAATAACTTTACAAATGAAATCAGGCATGTACTGTATATGTATGCTAGATTTGTAGAAAGTGGAGCCATCCAGGGGGTTATAACAGAGAGCACGTTCAAGAGTACCCTAAAGAGCTTGTTGAAAGAACCGTCACTCGTTTTTGTAACGTTTAAGGATTCTTTTTCTTGTATCTCTCTAGTCGGCGCCTTTTTCACAACAAACCACCTATGTTGTGAACGGTCCACGTTATTCTGCGTGACGTTGAAAATATAAACCTGTTAGTTTGAGTTCATAAGACGCCTGTACCGCATTTGATGATGCCGACGGTACGCATACCTGCGAGATCGCCCGCGCTCACCATCTTCAAGGCCTCTTCATTTGCCGAATTGTTTTGTGCAACCATTATTGACCTGAAATACAGTAAGTAGAATGCTGGCTCCCGCTTTTGGAATTCTTATAGAATGATTGTCTTCGCTTCTGTTGTGTAGGTCTCGATGAGTCTTCGAATAAGAGACAAGTCTTCACGAGTCGATACCGATACATGTGGCATATAGTGTACTATATACCATCAACCGATACGACATCAGACGTAGTTTACATGCTGTAGAACACGCTGAAAGAATTAAATATGCTCTAATCGCATTGGCCACCAGATGTAATGATCACCTTGGGCTTTTGATATCTTTGCGCTTTGAGTTGTCAATAGTTTCACTATACCGAGATATATCAAACTAATCGTAAGGTTGACGAGTCGCAGCGCCCCCTTCTTTCTCTCTTTCGCCCTTAGGAGGCGTCTCCGGCTCAAAGATACGATTCTTTTATCTATTTAGATACATACTGTATTTCGAAGACGGCTTTTATGTCGTCCCTCGTGACCCATAGTTTGAGATAGTTTAATGCCGCCGATGAACGGTTCGAAAGGTCCCCCCATCCTTCCCCGCTTTCTCTGCTCTAGATTTCCATTGATACCTGTCCTAAAGCCACTCTCTGGACCGGCAGACTCTACACTTCCTCCTGCCCAAACTATATCGAGCAGAACAGAAGAGTAGCGGGCTTCGTGATGAAGAGTTTCAACTGTGAATGGACGTTATTCTGCTTCCAGCAATCTATCAAGTTTACAGCAGCGCACATGTCCAGCACCATACATCAAGCTACGACCACTGCCGATACAACTCTACAGCCCGTGGCGTGGAGTCACTCACTCAACATGTGCATCCAGTGGCGCGTGAACAACAGCTAGTATACTATCTGCCACCAGAACCACTGGCAGATATCTAGGCTAGTATCCTCAACGCTACTCAAAAGCCAGGCTTTCATCAGTTTCAGAATGTTATCATCCTCCTACAGGCGAAAAATTTAAAAACGATCACTAAAGATGTTACCTGGGGGAGGATGGCTTCGCGATTTGAAGAGTACTGGACCCATTCAGTTGACGAGAGTTACATTATGGCCGCCGACCTCTATGTTGACATCGTGAAAGGAGACTTACCCTCGACAGATTTCGAAAGTCGCACCCAGGAACCAATTGATGGTCGCCCTCGTGACGCAGTGGCTAAGCGTCTGGCAGGCCTTGTGCGCGCTCATCGCACAAGGCAGTTCAAAACAACCTTCCTATAATGCACAACCACTAAGCAAGCTCCCAGGTCACGAAATGTGGGTCTTGGAAGCTATATACCATCTCAAACCCCATACAGAATTTGTTAATATTCCATCGTACCCATTGAAGCAAGGTCTTAGTAGGGAAACTATAATATGGAGAGTTGTCCTCTGTAGGAGCGACTAAGTGTTTATCGTAGAAGCCTTGGGAGCGAATATGACGACCGATTGCGTGGAAGAGATTCCTAGAAACGCGATGCTCCTCTCTAATGCCGAAATGTTTCTGCTTCGATTCCATCCTCTCCCAGGTAACATCTTTAGTGATCGCTTTCGCTTGTAGAAGGATGGTAACGTCTTGAAACTGATGAAAACCTGGCTCTTGGTGGCGTTGAGGATACAAGCCCAAATATCTGCCAGTGGCTCCGGCGGCAAACAGTATACTAACTGTTGATCCCGCGCAGCCGGATGCACATGCTGAGCAAGTGTGACTACGCCACGGGCGACAGCGAGGCTGCTTGGCAACCCTATGATACTCTCCAATCAAAGGTAACGCTCGCACTGCTCGAGACCCTCTCATCTACATATAAGGGAATATGAAGAATCTGGGCTCTAAAATCGAGGCCACAGAAGACCTTCTTTCTAGATTCAGGGTTTACTCTTCCAGTCAGGTCATCTTTCTGGTTTACAGTGGTCTTGCCGCTGAGGACGTCGGCGACTGTAGATTTCAGATATTTGGCAAGGCTGATCTGTGCATCTGGACTCTCTATGCGGTTTTGTGTCACTGTTTGGTGGCAATTATTGCAACACCCTTGGAACTTTTTGAGTTGTTCTGTCAGCTTCTGTGCCAGATGTTGAACTAGATCTGGCTCATCGTTTTCTGAGTGGGGTAAGGGTTCTAAGGGTGTATCAAAGCTGGCGGCCTCCTCCAGTTCGGGAATATTATGGTTCAGAGCGGGACTAGATTCTGCCGCAATATGGCAGGTGCTCTGTAAAGAGTCCTTTAGATATTTCGGCGTCGGTCGATCCCTCGTAAACTCAGAAATGAATCATACCATCCTGGCCTAAAGCAGAAAGGATCTAAGTCCGTCGGCCACGATGGAACTTCTTTACTTGATGAGGCCTTCGCCTCCGACGTGCGTAGCCTTTTTTCTTTATCCCGATGCTTTTATTCATCCCAGACTCATCTATGGAAACTGGTTGATAGTTTCGGAATGCGACAACTCATATATATGCTCTTCTCGTAGGTCTACGTTCTACTCTTCCGCGACGTTTTGAGTGGCCTTCTTCGACCATCCGGCTTTACGCAAAGCCCTACCAATACCAACGCAATCATGCGATACAGTCGCTTTGAAATCTGGACTGAGGAAGTTGGCCATGTCCCGCTGACACATGCAGGCATTTACGTCAAGCTCGTCGAAAAATGTGTTCAGCATGAGAGGAGTGATGGAGCCGGGACGGCCGCCACCATACAAAGGGGCTCGGGTAAATCCATATAGACGCAGATACACAAAAATAGTACAACGCCATGGCATGGCACATCGCTAAATCGCATTCCTTTAGTCTCGGTAGATAGTTCGTCCAAAAGAAGGGCCGGTTTTCTTCCTTTCGTGGAAATATTTTATGGTCACGTTGCGTTGCCTGGGGCCAACAAGTCTAGCACGGTGAAACTCTTTACCCAGAGCCAGTGGCTTGATCACGTGCGCTCTGATTGTATCACATGCTCCCCTGACTTGCGTCCCCACGAAAGATGTTAGACTATGATTGGCTAGCGGCAAGACGGACTCGGAATGTCGCCGTGAAACCCCGCAGGATAAAAGGGAAGCATACATGTAGTGAAATGATTATCTTCTTATTCTACCCTGTTTACAAATGAAAGGGTCAAGCGAAGATAAAACCATGCCAAGAGAAAATTTGATCAGGATATTGCCGGAGTCAGATGACTTTGTGTGCATTTCTTGCGACAATCGAACTTTTCCATTTGAAGAAAGCTTATTACAACACTGTCGGTCCAGCAAAATTCACGAGAATAAATGGTGTGAACGATGTATTTGGCTTTTCACCAGCTCTGCCGCACGATTCGCCCACTTTCGTGATTCGCAATTCCACTGGATCTGCAGATTGTGCAACGAGGATTGCGAAAGTGAGAACGACCATTGCTTGCACCAAGCTAAAGCTCACAATTACTGCACCGAATGTCAGTGCAACTTTCAAAACTATGTTGAACACCGTGTCGATTGCCACTGTCGCTGCGGAGAATGCGGTGAGGAGTTTAGTAACAAGAACAACTTGCTTATGGTGCATTGCCCTCGACCCAAATCCATTTGGCGGGATGGCTAATTTTATGCTTAGCACACTCAGACTCACGTCCACCGATCAAAAGAGTGCTACGGGTGTTACAAGAAGTACGCATTTGACTCCGCGATTCTGGATCACCTCGAGTATGATACATGCCCTTCTGGAGTTACCCTCGAAAATATCAACTGGTGGGCATTTGAATGCTACCAGCATCGCTACTACACTAATAACTGGGATGACGAGTATCAGTACCGATGTCCAAGGAATCACGACAACTTCAAATACGTTAGCGCCTTGCTACGGCATACAGAAAGTCCAACTTGTGGCGCTAATCAAGACAGATGTATTCAAAAGGTGAAGGCTTACATTGAGAAAAAAGTGAGAGATCTCGAGTCCTCGGCTTCATCATAGATTGACCGAGAATATGGCTATTTGTTTTCGTCGACTCTTCACTGGTACATCATTAAGAAGGTTTTAGCAACAATGCTTTGCTCATCGCAATCAACAAGAGCTCGGCAAGTAGTTGACACCATTATGCTACAGCTTTGATACAATGGCCTTCGACCTAGAAGCTGCTGCCGTAGTATAATACTCCAGCTAGCCACTAACATAAATTGAATCAAGGGTCTCGATTTTGTCTGCTTTCAAGTCGATAATTAAACATATTGCTCAGCTCACGAAGATTTATATCTTTACTCCTAGCAAAAATCAAAGCTCTTGCTCTTATTTTTTTTTTTCTTCTGCTTTGCTGTGACCCGAACCCCAGAAGCCTTGCTAGACGATGTTGCTTCTGACTTGGATTGGATTTGTGAATCTGTTGTTGTTGCTGCTGTTGACGATGGTGATGATGATAAAAGGACGCTGGTTTGATCATATGGAGGGCCGCCTTGCACATGTGAACCGTGGTGTTACTGTATGTACCTTCAGTCCTTTGATGAGTCTTTAGAGTGATGGACGTATGGACGTGCCTGTGCCACGAATCGTCGGAACGCAGAACCGTGAGAGTACGCGTAGTTGTTGTGGCTGTTGTGGCTGTTGTGATGTCTGTGGTGGTTGTAGGTGCTGCTAGTAGGGTTCACGATGGTACGGGGGTATTGGTTTTGCGCATGAGGAACAGCCCTAGAGTCGAAGCAAGAAGATGAAACCACGGCTGCGATATGATCAACTGCGATAGCAAGCTCACAAGCGCGCTTTCGTGGGGTGGCGTTTGAGATGATGTTCGAGATGCTATTCCAGGTATCAAGCACCCATGGTTTAATACATCCGGCAATTGGCCAATACGCTCCTCCCAATCAAAAAAATCCATAGATACACATGTGCATATATCCCGGCTGCTGCAGCTCCCATGTATGCTGTTGATTCGCCTCTCGAATTTTACCCCAGTGCAGGAATGTCTGCTGCGCGCATGTCGTTGGCGCCTGCAGGCCCTCCCTCGCTCGATATGGCCTGTACCTGCGTGTCAGTAGTATGTATGGGGGCATGCATCACGAACCTGGCCATTTTCTGCCCGCCGGGCCTAAAGTCACAACGCAGGTTGGCTGCGAGCCATGGGTGCATCAGGAAGGGTACAAGTCATAACCGTAATATACACGTACCTATCGGACCTTCTTTCGATTCGTAGCATGATGTAATAATTGAAGCGTTTGATGCGTTGAGTCTACCTATGAAATGAGCACTAGAAGATAATACGGTTGTAGCTTCAGCCTCAACTCGGGGGAGAACGAATCTAACCCGCTTGACCACTTCATACGACAGACAATAGGTCTCGCTTATGCGCGGATTTAGCGTTTACGCATGGTACAGGTTAGCGCTGCGCATGGCACGACTAGCGGTCTTCATGGAGATCGACCCTGGCTTGATTGATTGTGGCTGCGCGGCGCCAATCAAAGTCATGAAGTTACGTCTTTAGCGGTACTGTACTGTACAATCATGTGAAAGAGTCCGAAGTGGCAAAAAATTAGGAGTTACTCGTAAATTACGTCTCTATATCGGTAGAATTATAGTATCAACAGCAAACTGTTATAGTATATGCATTCTTGTCTGGTACCTTCCGCTGCTTTAGCTCTACGATAAATCTTCTAGAAAAATTATCTCGCCTAGTGAAAAGAAAAGGGTTCCGTAAGCTCCCTCTTTATGAAGGTTCTTCCTGCCTCAAGCTGCCCTCTTGCTTCAGTTGTTCAGCTTTCAATTCAAAAATTAGAGCCTTCAAACGAGTTCGTACCCCAACTGGGTCGATATCCCATCCGAGCTCCTTTTTCAAAAGAATTTCTTGAGTGGTCCCATCGGGATCTTTTATAAATTCATCCACATAGCCGAGCAGGAAGGCGCCGCAATCAGAACCGTTCTTCTGTTGTGATATGCCTTTGGCTACTATGCCCGAGGGAACATCTGCCAGATTAGCTCCTTTTTTTTCCCTAGCTTCCTTAGCAACATAATCTTTCAGCAGCTCAAGAGTTTGAGGGTGAGGCCAGCCAAGAGAGTCGAAAATGATGATTATCGGCTGTATCAAAGCTGGCGATGATTCTCGTCCCCTATATCCCTCAGGGCTGTGTTGTTCGGTCTTACAGTTCTTGCAAATTATGGCTAAATACCAATGGGCATTCTCGTAAATTGGTATAATGATATAGTTGTAAGACAGCAGGTCAGTTTTTTTCGTCCATGAGTTAATGCGATCATAGTTGATCTTGCGTTTTGCAGACTTTAATGTTTCGAAAAAAAATGTGTTAAGAAGATAAATTTTGCGAAACAGCTCAGGTTTGTCGTTTTCGAGCCTATATTGAATATAACGGATGTAAAAGTTAATCAGATTGTCGTTTAGCAATCCACCATTATTTAAACGGGGGACGTCTACTTCGTCGACTCTTGCTCTAATCCGATCCGTTGAAGGGAATATAAGTGGGGCTTGCCAACAGCTTGAAAACGGTACCGACTGTACTCCAGATCAGTATTCGAGTGAGTGTGAGGAGGCTGTGCTATGCGTACAGAAAGCTGCCATGTCTGGCAATCAAGGGCCTGCCTCCAGTAAAACCCATCTCGTATTTGACTGCCTTCCGATATAACCCATTGGTGAACGGTTGCGCGTTCTACAACGCTAATAACATTAATAATGCCCACTAAGGTTCCTGTTAGGCTCATATGATAGAAGAAGAGAAGCTATGCGAGGGGGTCTAGCCTACTGTGGTTAGAAGCAATCAATTCTCCCTGACCGTGATAAGGCTGCCTTCCTGATATAAACTTTTCGCCGTCTGCAGTTTCCGGGGGAATATCATCCGGAGAGTACATCCAGCATATAAGTGCGTACATGCGTTTCTTGCCTGACACTCTAAGCTCAAGAATCTTTGCTATCCAGTGATTGGAGAGGCGCCGTTTGGAAACGTTCTTCATATCATCTTGCTGACTGATTGTATCATGGTTGGCGACGTAGATAAAGTCCCCGCTAGCACATTCATTACCTGAATTAACTTTAGACGAAAAATAAGTTTATCAATAAATTTACAATACAATAGTTTTGCGCTAGTAGGAGATTTCAAGGCGCACTTACGAGTAAAATTTTCGCATATGGTCATGAGGGACCATTTCTCGGATGGATTGACATAGTACGACACGTCCAATGTTTCACATGTCTCAAACTTCCCATGGGGCTTAAAAGGCGACTTCTGAACGTACGTGGTTTGCTTTTTGGATGCCTGATGCTGCTCTTTGCTCAAGGGTTCGATTATATTCACACGAAAGGGACAATACGCATAATCTTTGCGGCGGGGTTTCCTTCTCGTTGGACACATAGTCACGATGACTTGTGGAAAGTTGATTCCAGGTACCAGAGCCGTCTACGTATATCGGAAGAATTGGTGGGATTTTGCGCGCTAGCGACGCGATGAATATTACACGGGGCGGCTGAATATTAATCCGTGCCGATAGAAACGCTGCGCCAATCACACGCTACTATCTCACCTATTGTTCAAGCCAGCCTCAAGAAATGAGCCCTAGTTCTAATATCATTATATAAAAGGGACCGTGTATCGGGTATCACTCTATAGGTAAATAGCATGAAATAAAGGCGGGGCTTGCAGCTATTACACTAAAATCCCTGGTTATTCTATTATCAGTATCCTGGCTGAGATGCTCCTTCAGCGCTACTAAAATTGTTAATAGCGCTGCTATCTTAATTCAAAATAGCTAAGTAATAAGTCTAGTAGAATTAAATACAAAGGGATATACCTAAAGGGTATCATATTTATTTTACTTGCTGAAATATAGCACTGAAGAAGCCTATAGGGGATAAATTACCTAGGCAGAATTCTAAGTTGTTATGGGCTGGAATAACGCCTAAGAGAATGCTGGGGTTATTAGTATTCTAGGCACCTAAGCCACAAGTCCCGCTTTTGTTGATACCATTTACATTTGGAGTGATACCGGATGCACGGTCCCTTCAAAAAGCTGTCCACTTTATAGGCCGTTTTGCTAGCATTTGCCAGATGGTGACACACTACAGTAGGACAAAGAAATCGGCAAAGTGTGCGTGGGGTTGGTGGCAATACTGGATTAGCCAGATTGTCCCCGATTTAGATGCTCTGGGAAACACAGCTGGGAATTGCTGAAAGGCGGCCAGCAGACAATTTATATCACGGCGAGGCACCGTGAATATGTGTGAAATAGTACAGGTATGTACACGTGTAACACAATAGTCTAGGAAGTACTGAGGAACGAAACAATGAAAGGTTGGGTAAATGTGACTGGTAATACTAGTAATTTATTAAAGAGCTGCTCGTCTTACATGCTTTCGCTGGTTGGTGGATGGAGGTGCACCAGGAGAAGGGCATAGGGAGAAAATGGTGCGTAGACGAAACTTGAGCTGGCCAACAGTATATAAGTTGGGGGGTAAGTGTCACAACCTGGTTCACTGTGATAGCGAAAACCTTTATAAGCAGCTGGTTCCGTTACAATAATTGCTTACAATAGTGATTATTGGCCTAATCTTTAGCCCTGTTGGCTTAACGGTATAACGGATCGTTACAGTAAGTAATATATGGCGCATACGATAGTGCCCTGTAGCTTTCACACACCCAGTAGAGTAGCAAAGTCGGTGTGATTTGGCGCGAAGAACATTTGGTGTTTATACAGATGGAGCCGACCCGAAAGCCCTCTCCGGGCCAAAGCACAACAAGTGTTCTACTGCTGGCGGTTGTCTGGAAGCTACATTATCGTATACATCTAAATACCCCATACTTTATACTGTGGTAAGCTCAAGTTTTTTCTAGTGCGCCTATTACTGGCGAAGGCATGTAAGATGAGCAGCTGTTTAATAAATTACTAGTCACATTTGCCCAGCCCCTTATACATAGTCCCGTGCCTCAGTACTTCCTACGCTCTTCGATTATGTATACACTTACATGTACAATTTCACACACATTCACGGTGCCTCGCCCTCGTATTTATTGTCTGCTGGCCGCCTTTTGGCAATTCTCTTACTGAAGAACTTTGCCTTTTAACCATTTTCTTATCTCATCTCGCAAACCCTCTCAAATATTGTCAATACGTCTAAATGGAATCCAAACCGCCCATCATAAAATAAAGTGTTATTAAAGTATGGAAGTCAACTGGGAATGATAGATAGATTGTAAAGTAAACTAAGTAGACTGATTTTACGAACTCCCTTGCACGCCCTTGTTTATAACCAAGTAGACCTTGTGATTTCCGACTTGCTCCAATTGAATGCCTGCGTCGATGCTGTTTTTAGAATCGAAAACACAGTCATTGACATTTATACGCATCGAACAGCCTTCTAGCATTTGGAGAACCTTGTGACAGTGCAAAGTGTGCTCATCCTGAGAGGCAGAGAAGACGAGCATAACGTTGTTGACCGATAGGCAGAACGTCTGGTCAACATCTTTGGTTGCCTCGAGTGCCGCCTTAACCTCTGAGTGCGAGTGCATAGTTCCTATGCGAGTGGAAATGGTAGCTTTACGAGCTTTGTCGAAAGCTCTTGGGTGGGCTGGCGACCATATGGCGACATTTGTCTCGGTAAGGGCACTTGTCGAGCTGCGACCAACAGTTCCGTCTTCAGCAGTTATAAATCCTCCCGAGTTCGAAATCATATCTGAGTTAAACCCAAGCCCAAGCTGTAGGTCTGCTGCATCAAAAAACCCATTTATCTCATTCATACTATTCGCTGCAGCTTTCATCAGCTCATCATCCATGCCAACAGCAGCTCCAAGAATATATCCAACCAAAAAGGGTAGCTGGTTTTCACGCTCTATGTATCTTGACCCATATAACTCGCACAGTAGAGCATCGCAGTGCTCTTTAACTTGCCTCAGTAGCTGCCAGCATAAGCGATGTAACAGCAAGTAGGAAAAATTGAAGTTTAAAAGATTCATTTTGCAGGCTGAACATGAGCTCCCTGATCAAGCTCTCCGGCCGTAGGGAATCGGCACTAATAGGTTTCCTCTGATGCTGCTCGCGCTTGCGTGCGAGTTCTTCGGCGTCTGGGGTTGAATAGAATTGAAGAGTGCCTTCCTCTTCAGATCCCACTTGCTCAAATTCACCTAAGGAGATGATGCCGTCTATCAGCTCGGGAGTCCAGTCCACACGTTCTGCTTCTCCAGCATATCTGCTTTTGAATTTTGAGGATACTGGAATGTGATCTTCTATCCCGGACGGAGGCTTGGCCGCAGCAGTGACCTGCTTACGGAAATAAAATCCGGCATATTCCACCAAGGTCTCCAGCCACGTAATAACGTCACCCTCTGGAGTGGCCAGGCTCAGGAGGTCTTTCTCGTGCTCCAGGTACTAAAGTATACCGTAATACCCACTTGATAATGGATGTATTAACACAGAGGTAAAGAGAATATTGTTCCAAGAACAAGAGTAAAGGATGAGGAAGACGCAAGCTAGATGTTTAGAAACATAGAATTACTCCAGGAATAGCTCTAGGGACGCAGACAGAAAGTTGGTTCGCTACCATAATGCAATAAAGATGTAGAAAGAGACACAACGGAACCTCGCAGCCGGGGAAGCAAAAGTTCTCGGGCAGATGCAATATAACAATTATCCAGATATCTATATCAGAAACAAACTAACCTATACTCCATGGCCACAATAACCGCGCTTTACGATACAGCGGCCTCTATACCGCCAAACAGGGGTTTTACACTGAAAAGTGGGCTCTTTGGCATCACCATCAGGAAGTGTCTCCGCAGTCGTATCGACAAAGTCTTTTTCGTGCCACATGGCGCCCGGGAAGGTGATGGCAGCCTCGCGATGAACAACAGCGACCCCGGGGCGCATCTGAAGCGAGTTAGCCGGGGCGGAGCACACTGGACATAAGGAGCTTACAACAGGCATGGGCGAGGTGCTTGGAAGTAATGGACCAGCAACTAGCTGCGCCAATGCCAACTTAAATAGAGAAGTTGCTGCGGGCCTGGATGTCTCGCTGCCGAAAGGTTGCCTTCTGCTTGCTGGTATGCTTCAGTGACTTGTCAATCACTCGGCGGTGACGCTAGAGACCCTTTCGTGCTATGGCCTGGCACTGCTGGTAGACCCGAACATCTTTCTGCAGAACGGTTAGCTGAAGAAACGCACGAGACACGACGCTACCTACTCGGCTACCAAAGAGATCCTTGACGTGGGCTTGGAGAAAGCGACCAACGTAGATGAGGTCACTGGGAGCCTTGGAACAAGTCATGTTCAAGGCACGGAGCGTACACATTCGCCGGGATAGCCTAGAAGCGGGTTAGCTGTAGCAGTGAGCTGTGAAGCCCAATGTTCGGGTGGTACAATTGCTGATATGCGCTGGGATCTCAATCCCGTGGCGGACAAGTATTTTGAGTGTCGGAAGCAGCGGAAGCTTGTATGGTCACTTGAAGACGGTCGATAGGAGAACCATACCGCTGTTCCATCTTCCATATACAAAAATTTACATACTCAAAAGCGAGTTTCTATGACCTCTTGAGATGGAATGCATCATATAGTTTTTGGCCCTCAATTTCTTCAAGATCGGCCAAACTTCCAATTATGAGGAAGATAATTTTTCGCGAGGCGTTAGACATAAGCGAACAGTGTCAGCCACTAACGCCTCATGTTCAGCCATAACCTTCTCAACAGGTCTCAACCATATTGCACCCATATATATTCTAACCCACTTTGTTGAAAGTAAGCCTACCAAAATACACACATTCAGAATGAGTGGAGAGCTTCACTTCTTTACACAACTAAATCGAGATCTAATAGGCATTTCATAATGTTATTGAATAATATAAAAACCACTCGTACCCCTTATGAAAGAGCTTACAATGGCTTCTTACTATGACATTCGGATAATGAGCGAAAATTACTAGGAGGAGATAACTTCAACAAGTACAAGCAGTTCAACCGGCGACTGCTTGACACCCAAAGATACTCTCTCCACCATGTCCGGCCCCATCGCAATAAGAGAAAAGGAAACGGACAAAGATAAGCCTGATGCATCCGCCCTGCCGCCACCCAAAGCAGTAGAGAATCAACCTTTAGTGAACAAATCACTTATGATTCGAAGTACGCAAGAGCCACACCGCATCCTCACCCTCTGTAATGGAGAGTTAAAATTTATCTAAGCCCATCCCCGGAGGAGGTGCTTTCTGGCGTTGTGTTAAGAATGATGGCTGGTACGGATTCCGCAACACTGTTTCCGGTGCCTATCTCGGCCACGACTCCCAAGGAAAAATCGGGGCCACACAACCCCACCATAAGAGTGACGAATATTTCGACATGGATAGGCATGAAAAGGGTGGTTATATCCTACTGATGAGAAAGGACGCTGAATGATTGCAAGTATCTATCTCGGAAGATGGGAAATCGTTAGTCCAACAGAAGGAAACTGGCACAGCCTGGGATTTTATTGACGTCCAGTATGTTCATCATTCTGTGTCAATGGCGTATCCTAATATGACAACAGAAAATCTGCGATGGGACTTAATTTGATTTGCTTTAGTTCCTTTTTAGGAGCTATGAACGCACTCTGTTAAGTTTAGTGATATCATCATTCGCAACAGTACAGTTGCTATATCTCCGTATCAAAGAGGTCCAGAAGAACTTTTGCCCGGAGATTAGGCTAGTGAGAGCCACTAGTCAAAAGTTTTAATAACTAGCTTTGTCTAAAATTAATATTCTATAAGCTACGCAGCTGTTACTCAAGGTTAAATGTTCAGGGACTTGGGGGAAAAAGTTGTTCGTTATTATTAACTTACATTCCGAACTGAGGCAGTTCAAGGCGATGGTACATCTACGATGCAATTTGAGGCCACAGTCCCGGCAACATCAACTTCCACCCGTCAACAACGCTTTCATCCTCGCTTCATCTCCCCACGCATTTCCCTCTGTCGGCTCCTAAACATCAGTCATCATGGGTCTCAGTTCAACGAACACGACCTCAACAGCTTCTTCTATTATATATACCCCGAGCGGCGATTCAAATGCCATCGGGGAACTCTGTCTCTGGAATGACCCTTAAGATGCAGTTCTTTGGCCCGGTAATACATACATGATTCGGGACAAAGACTCTGAACGAGCAATCGGTTCCATGACGGGTCTTTTTACGCGAAAGCCTTCTCGTTCAGACAATTTCAGCATTACCCGTTGGCTCCACTTTTAGTAGCCAACTGTTCGGCTTCAAACCGGCACACTGATTTTACTAGCAATTACACTTATTTTATACTCAAGATAAAAGCGCAAGAATACTTCTATAAAGAAAAAGAAAATAACCATATTAACCGCAAAGTAATATAAAATAACTTTGCTATAGATCCCTTGCTTTGTTACAGGGGTTTTGGTGGCGGTAGAGATGTGTTGATTTTGGCTGTGTTTTTGCGATTGTTATGGTTTCTTCGCGATCGTAGGCTCTTGTGTTATAGTGTAGCGCACGCTTAAAATTCGAATAAAAATGCGTCAAGTCACTAGAAACAATCGTACGACATCGAATCCATTATTTTCGTTCGTTTTCTATGAGTTGCGGGTAGTGATTGTGGCTCTTTGGTCGTGGATCGGTTGATGCGGACGTGTCATTAACCAGGATCGAGATGAGACGGTAGCTCAGCTGTCTTTATGTCTCAGCATATTCTTCATATCCTCTCAATCCACGCCCAAATAGAGTAACTGCATCAATGGCTCTGGTGAAGTCAATCCACCCTTTTCCAACCGATTGAATTGTAGCCACTCTAGGTCGCATGCTGTCTCGCTGTTTGGCTAAGTCATTATAATCCCAATCTTCGAGATGATTTCGCACTTTAAACCTCGTATTCAAGCCCCTCCAGAGATTCGCCTGATAGTTTATAATCTTCTCGAGAGTGTCGAAGAATTCTTTAACTCGATTCTCAAGCCGGATGTAGTCTTCTTTCTCCTGGTAGATTTTAAGATTTAGATTCTTCCTATTTTGAAGCACTTTTGCAGCAGAGTTGGGTTGATGTGTCATTGGCGTCTCCTGAAAATCTTCTGGGTTGAAGAGAAATTCGGAGTTGAGTTCCCCAGTGCGGTCGTTCTCTAGAGAGGAGCGTACGAGATGTAACAATGCACTCGTCCATTGACCAAAACCAACACGAATTTTCCGTGGATCCACTTGAGTTTTTCTATGTAACAATTTCTCGATATGTGAATTTGTGGTGTTTTTCTGTCCGATGCTAAATGGAAATCCACCAGTGGTTAACTGTCCCCTGCATAAGAATACCCCATGAAGAGCACAGCCCTCGTGAGCGAGTGAGAGTCGAGATGGTTTAAATTTTCATAGTTGGCATCTGTGGCCCCTATGAAGCAGTTTCTGTCAGCCGAGTCGATACAATTCTTAGATGGTAGCTTACCAGCGAAGAATACAGCTTCCGAACACCACCCAAGGATATGTCATATTGTTTTTCATTAACGTTGGAATGCACATGAAACGCAAAGGAAAGAGAGCACAGACACCTGAAGCTTCCAAGTGGGCACCGTCGCCTGGAGGGACTTGATTAAGAGGAGATATACGCTAAGGCTATCGAATAGGAAGGGTGATGTAGCAGTGGCCTCCGTTGCTTGTACATTTACCTTTTTCAAATCTCATGAAGTGGCAGCTTTTGCTTCACCGGAACAAGGTCCAGCGCGCGACCTACTCTACACGGTGGAGTACATGTCACTTGCTACAGTATCACGAGCAGGTATATATGTTCTGCAGCGGGGTCCGCGCATTCCGCTCTCTGCGTATCTCGACGAGGCTTGGCAGAGTGACAAGAAGGAGAACGTCAGGGCACGGTCTGACGCAATACTGTGCGCCACGACATCATCATGTTTAAACAGACCCAGAGGAGAAGCAATCCGCGACTGACTTTCGTTCGTTTCACCAGCTTATTAAAGCTCTTAACATGTGAATCAAGAGAATGCTCTTCGGTGATAGCAGCGTTTCATTGTTTCGCATGGATAAATATTGATCTTAGTAAGAGGAATGAGATAGTCAAACTCTAAAATACCTTGTACTGGCGAAAGACGGCATGAAATAGATCACTGCGTTACCTAATGCTGAGCGTGGCGTGATTCACGCGAGCAAGATGATAACTCAATCAAGACTGTAAAATATCAAATATAGTGCTGTAAATCAGCTTGTAGCATCCACATATTTCATCTTTCACTCAAGAAGTCCTTTCAACAGCGATGATTAGGTCATGTCCTTTTCTTCGGAATATAACAGCAGCACAGCCAGCATGACACGCGTCACGCTACAGGTCGGCGAGCGGCGATTTACTACGACCCATAACACGCTCGTTGGCGAAAGCGAGTATTTTCGTGCTCGTCTTTCCGGTAGCTGGAACGACGCTGACGAAGATGGCTCGTACTTTGTGGATGCGGATCCAACCCTGTTCGAACACGTTCTCCGCTATCTTCGAAGTGGCAATCCTCCGCTGTTTTTCAACGTTGCCACACAGTCCCATGATTACGCAATGTATCTGGCTCTCCTCGGCGAGGCAAAATATTTTGGTATCTCCAAGTTGGAGGACTGGATCCAGAACGAGCGTTATCTGGCTGCCGTCAGAGTTCGATACAGCATCGATATCTTTGGTGGCAGCAATATCTTGCAGGCACTACCGGGACACTTCAATACTGTGAATGCCAACACCAAGTTCGATTTCTCGTATGCCTTGGGGAGTTCAAAGGTTTTTGTATGTCCCCGAGCTATCGCCGAACATCGCGGACACCCGGAGCGATGCGGTGCAAAGTGCAACAAGAGTCGTAACGGACTACCAGCCATTTTCGAGGATGAGCCGAGGTTGCAGGTGGCATGCATTAAGACGGAAGTGCTTTTCGAGGCGGGACTCGCTAACGGCTCGACTAATGTCACTGGTTAGGAAGTTTAGGAATCCATCAAGTTGTACCATGCAATCACAGTTTTGACAGACACTGATAATTGATCCTGGCAAGGATGTCCTTTTCACACCTTGCCGTCGTTTGTTTACTTGAAAATATATAGCGTAAATTTGAAAAGTTGGTATCATGAACAGTCCCAGCAGCACGGCGTACAGGCCAATCGTAGTGAATATTAAGATGGAAGCATAGCGCGGCCTGCATTGCATTGCCTTTGTCCAGGTGGCTGCTAACAAGACCTGCAACTCGGCAGAGATCATTCCTGCCACCGGATTCGTCGACAAGCCCCACCAAAACGCAAGTCCCAGCACACAAAATGTAGCCATTGGG